AAATATGCATAAACACACACATATACACACTGATGCATACACACCTGACTGAGAGTGCACACATATATAAAAAATAGATGTATATATAAACATGCACAAGTGTATGCATGCACATATATACATACATATGCATTCATACACAAACAGATATAAGTCAATGAGGGTATACATGTGTAAGTGCACACACACACATACACACACACACACACACACACGTACATTGCAGAGACCAAGAAACAGATGTACACATACATATGTCCACATGTACGCGGATATGAGGGTGGGTCAATAAGTTTGTAGCTTAACACTCTTGGTTGATGGTTTTGTTTGTTTTACCGCATATCAACCTCAATGGGTTATAATGCCAACAATTTTTATTGCTAGTAATATTTTTTTTCAAAAATGTATTGCTGGTATCAGTTATTTTTTACAAAAAAGTATTCCTGTTATTAAAACTTATTTTTACACTTTCATAGTGTTTTGACCCGAGTTTTGGGGGTTAACTATTTGCCCATAGCTGGGACCTGAACAGGTGCTACCACCCCACACTCTTGGTTGAATTTTGATCTGGAATAATATAATTAAATGCATTGTCAAAGGAGATGATATTCAAAAAGAAATATTTATTGTACAAAACAGATAGTTTTTTTGTCATTAGGTTTTGGACTTATTGATAAACATACAAACATACATGGTGCATCAGTGCATACACATACATACATACACATACACACACCCACACCCACACATACATACACATACATAGATAGACATATGGGGAAATATGATACCTAAATTTTTATATATCAGAACAATGTTAGGCAATTGAATAAGCAAAGTGGAAAAATTGTGTGTAAGAAGTTTCATCCTTTAGAAGGACTTCATCAGACTAAAGTAATGTTTTAGTAATAGAATTATATATGTTTAAGGGGTGGGGGAAGATATAAATATAAGCATTGGTCATAATTATGCACCAAAAGGAAGTGCTGAAGATGTTGGATGCTAAATTGAAAATTTTTAAGTTTTAAATTTTTTTATACATACATACATACACACACATATATATTAATATACATACATTATATTTTTTAAATATACACACATATATATATATTTTTCACAACAAATACTCAAAATTTAACCGCATTGTTTAATTTTATAATTATTCATAATTATTTTACACATACATAAATATGTAGGTACATCAATAAATCTGAAACTTAATGGTGAAAAACATATTTTACTTAACAAATATTTATATTTTAACATAATTTCTTTCTATGTCAATGCTGCACTTCATTCAATGGTATGTTTTAATACCATACATCAAACATTATATATTGAAAATTTCATATCAACATTTAGCTAATAGGCATTACTCTTGCAAATAGATACAAGTTCAGTTCACTTTCACAATTCTACATTTTGTGTGTATGTCAGGAGTGGAGAGTCTGCTCCTGATTTGATAAAAGAAAAACACATATATAAGTCTTGAATGAAAAAGCACTTTTTGTTCATATGTGTATCACCATAAAGATACTTCTATGAAAGCAAAACATCTAAGGTCTCAAAGATATTATCATATTTGATGGTATCTATGTCAACCCACTTTTTCTTTCAAAATATGGCTAAAAATATATCTATTTATATGAGAAGTTGAGGTTTCTCATAGGCCATTTTTTTTAACTAGACTTCACAGACTACCAATATTTGTATGTAACTGAATGCTAGGAGAAAGTCTTATCAAATATGGTACTCATTTTCCAACAATACATAAAGATACATGACTCCTGCTATGATTATTTTGGACTGACATGTCAGAAGTAATATTCATGTGTTTTCTTCTTTTTTTTTTTTTTAAAAACTTCCATTGTATTTGCTGTTGCTGTTTTTTAACAATATTTCGGTTGCCCAAGGTTCTTGATTTCTTCAGGTGATATTGTTTTGTATCTTTTTTAGCATGATATAGAAACTAAAGTAAAGAAAAGATTATAAATAGTATTGACGAAAAACAAACTTCACAAAAAGAAACTACATCTGCAGAGACAATCTGAATGATTGAAAAAAGAAAAAAAAAAAAAACCAATAATTAAGAATAATAAGCCCTCTACCTAAAAATATAAAGTAAATAAAATTAAAAAAGTCAGTATAAAATGATGAAATAGTTATATTTTCCCACTAATTCTAGAATTGTCCTAGTCTAAGTAAAAGCTACGATTTTAAATACTGATTTTTAGACAGCATATCATCCCACCTTGGAAGATTACCGTAAAAAAATCTTTCTTCTTTTACTTCTGAAAAGCTAAACTTCATAAAAATCAAGAAAATAGGACTATTTTTATCAAGGGAGGCAAATAAATAAACAAATCCAAACTTGTCTCCCTTTAAACTATAATTAAAAACCTAAAAACAAAAAACACAATTAAATAAAATGGAATGAAACGATAATCAATGCTGTGATTTAGGATTGAATATTATATAGATTATAAAATAGCAGCTAGATAAGAATTTGCCTTTCCATATTTTCTTATTTTCACAAATAAATAAATAAATAAAAATAAATGAAATTGTGTATTCATCAAAATTTATATTTAAAAAAATTTGTAAAAGAAATTTAATTTTGTATTCTGCTGTTAAAATAAGGAAAAATGTGTGTCCAACAACAATGATGATTGTGGTGGTGGTGATGAGGTCACTTTACAGTTGAACAAAGGTCAACAAGCTTATGTTATTACTATGCTAAAAAATTTTGAAAAGGTCACTTGTGAATTATAGAGGCTTTGAATGTTTCTGTAAAATTTTCTTGAAAATTGCTACAGAATCTTAGACTGTTTTATCATTTAGAATGTGACTTTTATTTTTTAAATCATTCACTCCAAGCAAGGTGGGAATGTCACTAAAACACAGGGGATTACAGAGAATGAAGGTGAGAGAAACGACTGGGTATAGAGGGGACCAAGGAAAGGATAAAAGTTGAATGCAGTTCAAGAAGATTGAAGACGGTGATTGACATTGCATTTAAATTTTTGAAGATTGTACTTATCAGAGAAGCAATGAAATGAAAGAGAGTTCCACAGGTGGGAAATGCGAGAAAAGAAACCATTGGAGTAGAAGTGGCAGTTATATTTAACCAATTCAACAGTAAAAGAGTGGGACTTAGTTGCCAGTCTAGTAGAAAACTTAAACTCACACAGACTGGGCACCAGGGAAAAAAGCTCATCAGAGCAGTTGTCATGAAAATATTTGTAGAAAAGACAGAGGGAAACCATATCACATTGGTGAGAAAGAGACTGAAGTCGAGATGCCAAGTCAGGATCAATTATATTGCAGATCCTTCTTTGGATTTTGTCAAGAACATAGAGATGAATAGCAGGAGCACCAGACCAGATATGGCAACAGTATTTGATGCACGAACGAATGGCAGATTTGTAAATGTACAAGATGGACTCTGATGAGAAAAACTCTCTGGCACAACACAGTGACCCAACTTTCCTTGACTTAATTTTTTAAAAGCAGTTCATAAGTAGCAAAATATAATAAAATTCTTCACTGACCTGAATATATTCATTTTATCCATTAAAATTCAACAAAAAGGATCACTGATTAAAATAAGAATATCTTTTAATACAGCAAAAGTGAAAGCAAGGAAAATTTCAACTGAATATGGCCAATGAGTAACATAAATAAAAACTCTACCTGAGGGGATGGGCAAATAAAGTGACCAAAATCTGCACTTGAGGATGGTCTAAGAATGAACCAGACAAAACTTCCACTTGAAGTTTACTAGAAGATAGAGTGACCAAACATTCACTATTTGACAATAAATGAAGCTGCAAAAACTTCTATCTAAGAATGGCCAGAGAATAAATTGACCAAAACGTAAACCTGGGGATAGTCTGAGAATAAAGTGACCAAAACTTTTACCATGAAGATGACCAAAGAATGAAGCAGGGGAAATGTTATGAAAAGAGCCACAAAGAAAGAAAACAATGACAAAGAATTTAATGAACATTGCTAACAAGCCTGGTCAATATTTTATAGAGCAGTGATTCTCAACTGCCATGCCACAGCACATTAGTGTGCCGCCTGATCCTCTTAAGCGTGACACAAAATATTGTCAAACATTAAAAAAATAATATGAAAAAACATTAAGCACAGATTTCACACTAAATAAGCTGCACAAATAGTTAAATAGAAACATTGAAATAAATTAAGTTCATATTTCTGTGTGTATCCTTTAAAAATCCATGGTTTTATTTCATAACATTTAAATGTATACCCTTTAAAATTATTCCAAGTGGGCCATGATATTTTTATTTGCTTCTAGGCATGCTATGGCTTAAAAAGGGTTGAGAAACAATGTTACAGAGAAATAGAATTGTATTTTGATATCAAATGTTGACAAGCCCACATTTTTTTCAACAGAAAACTTAACAGACTGAAACAGACAAACAAGGCTCTTGACAAAGGAGAAAAGCAGCTTCTCCTTTAATTAATCTTCTTTTGAACTAAAAAATTGATCTAGGATGATTTTTTAATAATTAAGAACCTAAATGACATATATATTTTTTTTTTATCTATGAAAGAACAAAAAAAAATCTCATTTTTATCTTCTGCCCTGATTTGAAGCATATCAATGAGTTTGGAGAATTTTCACTTTGTTGGACTTTGTTTCTGCATGACCAGCAACAAAATTAATGCTCTACTACTCAACTTCCATTTTAAAAAAACAGTTTCAGTTTGTTGGCTGACCTATAATTATCTGATTTATGTATAAAGAATCTGAGTCAAATCCAGTAGAGTAAGCAGTTATCTTCTTGATTTATAATCAATGTTTAATAAGAAATGATCTAAAATCTTAAATAATGGTTTCCTTCAACATCAAGTATAAGCCTGTCAAAATTAAAGGTCTTGTACAAGACTAAGCATCTCCTACTTATGACCTTGTGCCAGACTAATTAACTTGAACTGTTTGATCAGAGGTCATTATTTCAAGGATTATGGCCATATCATGTTGAAACACTGTTTCCCATACAATCACCGAAGTTAAGCAATATTGAGACTGGTCAGTACCTAGATGGGTGACGTTTGGAAATATCACATGCTGTAAGCTTGGATGTGTGGGTGATGTAATGGTTAATAGGTCAGAATCATTAATTGGAAAGCAGAGTTCCAAATTCAGTTGGGTTTGTTATATTCACTTATGTGCAAATATCCTTGGGAAAGGTATGAAGCCACCTCTTCTCCTCCAGCTATGGGTTAATTAGTAAAATGTGTATAACTAAATTATTATTATATCAAAAAATAGAAAAATTCTTACAATCTAAAAATATTTTCTGGCTTTGAATAACCTACAAAACTATAAAAAAATGAATCAATAAAATCTTAAATCATTATTTTGGTTTAGTATGTTTCATTCTTGCTTTCCCCATAGCTGTGACCATGTGCCAAACTAAGTTACATCTAGTCAATATCAATTGGCATTGGAGGATAATTGCTTATAATTCAAGTCACCAAGCATGTTCAGATAGATAGATAGATAGATAGATATCAATATACTGAGATAGATATCAAAGGACTTAGATAGATACCATCACTCATTTGCATGAAGGCAGAACCAGCTCTTGTCATTGACTGCTATAAAACACTATTGGAGCCCTTAGGTGACTGTCTCATAACACTATTGGAGATATGCATGATGGCGTTATAAGATAGTGAATATTAAGCCAGAGGCACACATTCTTGTATTGTCGCAGCAAGTAATTATTTACAGTGGTCTGTACTGTCACCTCTGGAACAGCATTTGCTCTGCTAAGTGCATTGACATTATATGATCTGCTATTGATACTCTTAAAGTATACTGATCTTGGTAAGTGTCTTTACTTCATGGCTATCCAGAACCTGGTGTAGAAATGTTCATTTGACCAATATCGGCAGCACTGATGTGTCACCCACAGAATATTCTCTAAAATGACCATTCAATCTCTTGAAGGCCAGAAGTCCTTTTCTTCTCAAATGGCTCAAACTAAATAAAAGAAATACATGTATATCTATTTTGCATGATACCTGTTTGTACTGAACTCTTTCACAATGTCAAATTTTATTGTGTCATCATCTGGCTCTTGGTATATCGGTTACTACATCACAAAATGGCTGAAGATTTGGAACATTTTTACCAGAATATCTACCAGTCATTAGGATGCACATATTATCTTTCACGGTATTGCGATTTTATTTTTTGTCAGTATGGTATAAGTTGTGATCATTTGCAAGACCAGTTAACCAATTCAACAGTAAAAGAGTGAGACCTAAACATTTATCCACAAGAAGTTGATTTAGTTTAGTAAAGTACAAGGTATTTACTAAGCTGAAATCTACAGCATCCATTGAAGAATGATCTTACTGTAATAGCAAGACCAAATTACTAATCATTATTCTTAGTATTTTCCTACTTGTTCTTGTAGGGATCTCAGTAATATCAAATGATATAAATAGAAATTAGGATGTAGGCTGAGAATGATGCTCCAGAGAAAGGCATGAACAAAAAATTTCCATATTCACTCATTAGAATAATTTTGAAAAGAATTTGAGGTTTAATGAAGAAAAAATAGGATTATCTCCCTTACATCGTATTTTTAGGATTAAGGGGCAATATAATTTTTTTTCTAATTTATCACTGGAAATAAATTTTACTGCTTAAAATTAATTTCATTTTGGGTCCAATTTCTTCAATGAAAACAAGAAGAAAATGTTATTTTGAAAACAAAAAATCTGATTACTCAGAAAAAACAAAAAAAACACATCCTCTCATTTTCATCAAATGATAAATTCTGAATGAAACAGTTGGAGTTGACCTTAAGCATAATAATTTCATTCAAAATTTATCATTAAAAATAAAATTGCAATAGCCTGAAAGATGGTATGTGCATCCTAATGACTGGTAGGTATTCTGAGAAAATATAACCCACATATCAGTGCTCCAAAATGACTAGAAAAATTCCCTTCCTTTTGATTTGTGAAAATGAGTTTCATTTGTAAGTTAATGTTTAACATTGACCATTGAAGGTTAAAATCTTTTGGCAAAATTTATTACTGAAATGTAAAATTATGTTTTAATTTGCAGGAAATCTGCCAGGAAAGCCTCCAGCTATTTGACCTATTCATGAACAATTAATCTTCCTAGAGCAATAGCATTTTCTTTGCTTTCCTTTCACCTTTAATACGATCTGCAATGACCTTTTTTTGCTTGGTAGCTGTGATAGCTACATATCCCTACCAGTGTTAATAGATGGTGTTTGGAATCAGGTAAAAAGCAAAGATTTCAAAGACTGATTTTTAAGACAGGCCCTCCCCACTTGGAGGACTGGTGCAACACAATCTTCCTACTCTGCATTTGCCCTTTGAAAAACCACCTTCAGGCCACATGTGCTTTAGACTGCTCAACTATGTTCTTTATTAAGACTCGAATAGCCGGTCCAGTAGATTTTTAAAAAACAGAACTGAACAGCCAGATTACCAGCACATATGATTTGGCTATAGTGGTGAAGTCTTGTACAGAACCAACCACACTTTTTGGAAGAGCCAAATACAGAGAACTGATGCACAGCATGCTGCAAATATCCCCAAACGACCTTCCTCACAGCAAACATGATTGGGATTTGAACTTGGCTTTCCAATTCCTCAATTCAAGCAGCTACCCACTATGCCTCCAGAGTGTGTATGCGTGTGATGTCTGAGTGTGTGTGTGTATATATATATATATATATATATATATATATATATATATATATATATATATGCAATTTATTATATATATTATTTATATATTATATATGTGCAGGAACTTATAAATCTAGGAAAGCGCTCAATATCAGAGATAGAGCTAACATATTTAGTTGAATTGATGTGAGTTTGTGACCCTGGGTTTTACGCTTTTGCGATCGTCAGACAAACTGATTAATTTTTTAAAATTTTGGATTTATCTGGGGTTGCGTATATTGGTGTTTTTATGGAAGTGGGAGGAAAAATTGTCGTTGTGACGCCACTCATACTTACGCAAACATACATACACACCAGTACACCTGTTGACATACATAGACACGCCCATGCGCGCTCACCCACCGGATCTCATACAAACATAAACATATGTGAACAGTATGGGACTTGGCATATATATGTATATATGTGCCATTGTGTACATACGTACACATTTGATTACTGTATTCAATGATGGATTGTGTAGTGAATATTTTTTTTATTGTAGCGATGTCAACGAGCAGTCCGTTTCTCTATTTTTGTTCACAGAATAATATTTTCTCGCACGCACGTATATAAGTATGATGGGGTCTATGTAAAACTATGATAGGTAAAAATTGCTATTATTTTTAATTTTTTAAGGCTGTTTTGTATTTTAAAGCTGGTTATTTGCTTGTTTTTAGTGATTATGCATATGTAAATGGTAGAAATTCCAATTTGTAATACTTGTTAGTTTTTATGCAGTGGTATTAATTTTGCTTGGGGAGAGAGGGGTAATTTATGTTGATGGTGATTGCAGACTAATATGGCAATAGTAATTGTGATGTGGTAGTAATAGTTGGGGGTTGATGATAATAATAATTGTAGAAGCAAATAGTTATTGTAAAGGTGGTAGAAGTGATTAGTAATGGTGGTGGAATGATAATAACAATAAATGCAATTATTATGATGGTTGCTTGAAATAGAGAATAATTGATGGCGTTATGGTATCAGTGGTTTCTCTTTTCATGTTTATAGGGTCAATGGTGATTTATGTTTTTTTTTTTTAACCGTTTGGTATAAATTCTGATAATAGGTATTTATTTTCATGCCTACATTTGGAAATTATTTCTGATCTTATATTTAGTAAATTCTTTTGTGCAGTATGAGATATTATTGCTACTTTTTCGTGTAGGCATTTTTTTGTAATGTTGTTGTAGACAGGTGCTTTTTTCAATATTTTCCAGTTTATTCTTGGTGTAATATTTCTGTCTTTTAGATGCCATTTGTATGTGGATAGTGTAGTCCTGTTTGAGTATTTTCTGTTGGGGAATAAAAGGTTGTGGTTGTTTTTTCTCTTCTTGAATGGTCCCTCAGTGGCACTGATGTAGTACATTGTGCTGTTGTTTGCACTTACCTGGGCTTTATATATTATATTCATTTGTTAGCAATTTCCCTGGAGTGGACATGTTGTTCTATTTCTGCAGTTGCATTGAGGTTCCTTGGTTGCATTATTGTAGGTAGTTATTTTTTTGTTGTGGCTTTTTATTATTTGTGTTATATTTTTTGTGTAGCTGTAACTGATTTTAATGTTATTTTTGTTGAATATTTTTGCTAATTGGTTTGTTTCAGGGAAGTGCTTATCTATTAAGTTTAGGAATGTCCTCCGTATGTTTGTTTTGACGGTTTTGTTGTATGGTAGATTAAACCAGATAATATTTCTTTTTCAGTTTTTGTGTTTTGGTTGTGGAGGTGTATATTGTAGATGTTGTGTGTATCGATTTTCTTTTAATGCTTCCTCGTATGGTGTTTTTTTGTTATTGAAAATGTGTATGTTAGATGAGTTTTCAGATAGTCTGCAACTGATTGATATGGGTAATTGTCTGATAATTGAAGGTGGATGGTTGAAGGATGTGTGTACGTAAGTTGGGGTGTCATTATCTTTTTTTGTACGATTTGTATGTATTGTTGTTCAGGTTAAGAGTATGTATGTACACAATGACACATATATACATAAATATGCCAAATCCTATACTGTTCACATATGTTTATGTTTGTGTGAGCTCCAGTGGGCAAATATGTGTGTGAGTGTGTCTACGTATGTCAATGGGTGTACGGGTGTGTATGTATGTTTGCATAAGTATGAGTGGCATCATGACGACAATTTTTCCTACCACCTCCATAAAAACAACAATATACACAACCCTAGATAAATCCAAAATTTTAAAAAATTAATCAGTTTGTCTGACGATCGCAAAAGCGTGAAACCCAGAGTCACAAACTCACATCAATCCAACTAAATATATATGTATGTATATATATATATATATATATATATATATATATGTAAGTTAGATTCTTTAAGAATGGATGCAAG